GACTTAACCATCCAGGGGTTCTTTACCTTTACCTTTTATAGCCCCTTCATACAGCACTTCTCATCTCTGTTTTATTGCATCCTAAGTAAGCCAAATGGGACGCGGGTGGCGCTGTGGGTAAAAGCCTCAGCGCCTAGGGCTTGCCGATCGAAAGGTCGGCGGTTCGAATCCCCGCGGCGGGGTGTCTCCCGTCGTTCGGTCCCAGCGCCTGCCAACGTAGCAGTTCGAAAGCACCCCCAGGTGCAAGTAGATAAATAGGGACCGCTTACAAGCGGGAAGGTAAACGGTGTTTCCGTGTGTGGCTCTGGCTCGCCAGAGCAGCGATGTCACGCTGGCCACATGACCCGGAAGTGTCTCCGGACAGCGCTGGCCCCCGGCCTCTTGAGTGAGATGGGCGCACAACCCTAGAGTCTGGCAAGACTGGCCCGTACGGGCAGGGGTACCTTTACCTTTAAGTAAGCCAAATGGTAACTTCTGATAGCTTCCATTTGTGAGACTGAAATTAAATGGAAGCTTTAAGCCTCACACAATTGCTCTGCAAGCAAGAATGAAAAGAAAGTTCGCTCATAGGTTTGTTGAGGGCTGTTAGTGCCTTACTGTCCCTTCAGGTAGTGATTACAAGACTGATTTGTAGAGATGGTTGCTAGTTCACAGAGACAATAAACATCGAATCTACACCATCTATGCAAATATAGGCAAATAATTGTATTTGCAGAACCAAGGATCATCCTAATGTTATCCTGTGCATAAATCACATCATGGGTTCATGTTAAGAGCATTTCTGCTGTACCAACTGTCCAATTTAATAGAAGTTTAAGAGTTTTTTTGTATTGTGTTGCTGTGGCCACATCCATAAAGATTGTGCTCCAAATTCTCCAAGATATTATCACTGCTGGAGTCCCTGTTCCAACAGTGATACTAACTGAAGGGACTGTTCTCTTGATGCAGTGAGGGAGTCTCACATACAGCTTCTATCAACACTAATCCCTATCCATTGAGAGCAAAAGAAGATTAGACTCCTGTGGTGATTCTTTCCAACTGAAATTCAGATTGTGAGGGAATCTGTAGTGTAATCAAGAGAAGCCATATAGAGTCCTCATTTTTCTTGTACAGCTTGCAAATGAATTACTGACAGAGGGAAAGGACTTGTGCTGAAACCAAACCAATTCATTTAAGGAGCAGCATGCTGCTCCCTGAAACAGTCTAGCGTATTGTGTGAAGTGTCAAAGGACCAACTAAAGCATGTACATTCAAAGCAAGGACAATGGGCCTGAAAGGGGTGATGATGATAAGCTTCTTGGAACATCTGGTAATTAATCTTAGTTTTGGAAGCTTTGTAGAGTATTGGCTAATGTAATTGCTATTCACTTTCACTGCAGGAAAATGTAAAACAGCAGACAGCCAAAAGACTTGTCATTATAGTTCCCCAGATTTCTTATACAGTACTAGCAGAAAGAGAGAGAGAGAGAGAGAGAGAGAGAAGGAAAGAAAGAAAGCAAGCAAAAAGAGTGCAAAACCAACATTTTCACATAAGATAAGGGGGCAAAGTGATGCAAAGGCACACAGTAAAAAAAAAAAATCTATGCAAAGATGTTTGCCTCTCTTTCAAATCAGAGGTGATAGAACCATGTTTCCTAATACCACAAAAATGTACCTTATTCACTTCTGGCAGGCTACTGGTACAACTTTTGTCCGGTGATTGAGAATCCCATATGTGGATAACTGGAATTTGTGCTTTGAGTTGTTCACAAACTGCTTATAAGGCCTTAACAATCAAATCACAACAGTTAGCAATATGGACACTATTGAAGCAAGGAATATAAAAAAGTATTGAGGTAGTTAGCCATCCAGACACTTTCTCATCTCCGTATAAAACTAAAAATATGGATCTAAAGCAGAGATTCTCAGCTTTGCAACTTGTTCTTGATTATCGAAAATTGTTCTCCTCTATTTCCCTTCGGAATCTGCCTCCTTAGGTTATCAGTCCAGGAAGGCTTCTTGCCTTGTGTTTTTCCAATGGTATAATCACATTAGCACTTATGCCACATCCAGTGCACTCCTGCTGCTAATTTTTGAAGCCGCAATATGTTGATCCATATTAATCCTGTAGTTCCTTGACAAATACTGTTGCTTGCTACATTCCCCCCAACCAGCTTTAGTTTGATTAGAAAATAGGGCCTGTTCACATGACCACTTGTTCCACATTCTAACAGCCATTGTGCAAGTGCAGGTCACCACGGAAGCACAGATGAGAGCTTAATGAATAGGAGTTCCTGTTGGATTTTCTCTCTGTGTGTGAGAGAATCATTTGTTCCAGAAACAGAGAAGAACAGAGAATAAGTTTCAAGAAGAAGCAGAAGGCTGAGATTGTTTTGTCTATGCAAGGACATTTTCTGTGGGAATTGTTCTTTGGACATGCGTAGTGTGACAGGAAATACTGATAACAAGAGTTCTGTGTAACTTCTTGTAAGTTTCTTGCTTGCATCTTACAGTGAGAGAAGTAGAGAGAGAGTCTTGGACTCTTGTTGGACTCTAAGCTTGCCTTGACCATGGCAGTGGTGAATGTCTGTATATATTTGCTACCAACATGCTTTTATGCCTGTCAAGTAAACCTCTACACTTGACTGAATCTTTATGGCATCCATGAGTATCTATTGCCTACTGTGTGTTCCTTCAACCCCAAAGATGCTTCCAAGAAAGGAGCTGCATTGCGATGTAACTCTGCTGAGTATGGATACTGGCACACACATGCAGTGAAATTGATGCCAGATCTCATCCTTCTAAATCATCCATCAGAGGTTTATGAATTGATCCAACAGTTCCCTGTGTGTATTGAGACATTCCCATCCCCTGCCTACTGTGGACAACTCCATGTAAATGCAGTTTGAAATGACACTAAGCACAGCAAAATTTCCTCCTGAGGCATTATCACAAATGGGTTTTGCATAGAAAAGTAGTTGAATGTTCCACAACAAGTTCTGGAAATATCTCAGGTATTGTGAACATGGCCAGATAGGTTTGTCAAGAGAGAAAGATCAGATGTTTCCAATTTTATTATTCAAGGGCTCTTGGCAGCTTTTGAACAATCAGCCTGAAACATCGTTATTAAAACTGCAATAAAATGGTTCTGGTTTATTAGAACTGTCTGCATTTGTTTGATCTGCTGTTCTTCATGAATACAGTTTAACATGCACACAGCACTATGAAATAACCCTTTCAGCTTAAGAATGCATGAAGAAGAAAATGAGATTGGTTTAGCATGGATATGTGTGTAGTTCAAATGCAGCATATGCTAAAAAGCTTCATATTTTCATTATACTGATGGATTCAAAATTGTCTTTTTAGGCATCCAGTTTGGAATCATTAAGTTCTATTATCCCAGACCAGTTGGGTAGCCATATGCATCTCTTGGCACGGGGAAAAAGATGTTTGACTGGTTTCCCTATATTATATTGAAATAAAATAAAATGGAGAAGGAATAATAAAATATTTGATAGGGCATTTACACCAGGATAAATTATATTAAAAGTATATTCAATTTGCTCTCTTAACCCTAGGTCATTAGTCATACATATCATTTATACTCTGAGAATCTATTTTACTTCATCACTCAACACCATGGTTTGTTGGAAAACGTCTTAATGGAAAACAGCTAGTCAAGTCAATCCTATCCCTTCCAAGAGAAAGAGAGGTCTTTTTTGACATTCTCTTCCATTAAATTTGCATTAAAGTGACTAGAAGCTGGAGGCACCACTATGAACAGACCTTGCAAGCCCAGCCCACAAAGAGGAATGCCCATTTACTTGCCTAGTCTTGGGACTCCAGTCATTTGCCACACTAAGTGCTGTGCCCACCCCATCCTTCAAAAAGAAGGTTCTGGAGACATGCCACTTGTTAGGTCAATGTCTTCGCTTGCGTTTAGCTTCTTGTATACCTGCTGTATCCTGTAGCAGTACCTTGCTTATGTATCATTCTTATTTAAGCATTTAAGTTTTTTGATAGTCATCAAACTGGCAGTTCAAGTACTTCAATGAGGGCTGGCACAGTTGTGCATCCAGTTATATCATTGGTGTCTGATTTGACTCATGATTGGGCTTAGAATAAACTACTAAACTACTATAAACTACTGGTTGGTAAAGATCGAACCTGGGAGCATTCATGTTCTGTTACTGAGCTACTGCTTTCCCACCATACTGGAAGATACTTTATTCTGCCAAATTGGTTACAAATTAAAAAGAGGGAACTGTGATTTTCATCACTAATTTGATACTAGTCATAGCTTATTTTGAAGAGTCATGGGAACTGTGATTTGCTGAATAAAAGTAATGACCAATTTCACAGTGCAATTCATTTTCATATTTATTTATTTTAACATTTATATTGCACCTTTCTGCTAAGGAGCTTAAGTTGCCATACATTGGTCTTCCATACGTGGTAAGCCTAAAACTATACACACCAATCATATACACACTTCCTTGGGAATGTTCCAAGGAACTCATTTGTGCTTAGTAGCCTTAGTAGAAATCTGCAGGATTGTACTGTGCAGTTAGCAGACTTCTTCAGGCACTAACAATGACGGCTAAATTGCCACATGAAGGGAGGCTGCATGATGGGAACAAGCTCACTAGCTCCAGTCCTCTGTTACCATGCTTGCCACTTGTCATGCGTTGGAATAATAATAATAATAATAATAATAATAATAATAATAATAATTAATAATAATAATTTATTATATGTACCCCACCCATCTGACTAGGTTGTCCTGGCCACTCTGGGCAGCATTTAACATATATTTATACATAATAAAACATTAAATATTAAAAAGCTTCCCTGTACAAGGCTGCTTTCAGATGTCTTTTAAAGGTCATATATTTACTCATCTCCTTGACATCTCATTCCTTCTCTCCTATCATAAGATCAATGTGATCTTGATTTCTGCACCAAAAGCAATCAAACAATGCTTGCAATCCAAAGATCCATTATTGCCATCAGCCTACAAGTCATGCCCATGTACAATGTGAGAAGGTTAGAAAGAATATAGTTAGAAGCAAGAGGGAGAACCAACCTAATAGTAATCCAAGGTTCTGTAGCAGAAACATCAACCAGGGCCTCTGTGTCTGGATGTGAGTCATTTCAGGAAGCTAAAAAAAGAATGAGGCAGCAGTAAGAGAGCCAAATATATTAATATCTGGGACTGTGGGTGGGGCAGGCTGAGTCTTATGGGAAACATGACAAACTTCATTAGTAAAGACTTTTAAACCCAAGGTTTCTAAATATAAGATTCAAATCTGTAGTAAGCTTGGAACATATTTTCTACTTCATCAAATGAGAAATACAGTTCCGAGATTTCAGCTCTTACACCATCACTATAAAGAATTACTGGAAGTTTACATGCATAGAGTTTTGAAAGGAATCCTTCCAAGAAAAGAATGTTTGATGAACGCTTTCCTTATAGCAGAAAGTCCTATTTTGGTTGGAAGTGGGTTTGTTACACAAGAGCTGCAAATCAACTTTAAAACCTACATTCGCTGTTACATAATTGAATCCTACCCGAAATTAGCAGTAGTCCAGAAGCATCCAGAGACTTGATCCAGTAGTACAGCGCCATATTTATGAGCTAAGCTATCCAACTGTTGGACGCTGACAGAAAGTCAGTGTGGTGTAGTAATTAATGCAAGGATCTTTTGATATTGAAAGGCCAATGTAAAGTCTTATGAAATCAGTTAGAGCACTTAAGAAGTTCATTAAAATGGCAATCTTTGAAGAAAGACCTGTACTTAACAGTACTGCAAAATCTCCTAAGGAGAGGAAGAGAGACATAAAATATTAATTAGCCCATAAAAGGCTTGTACTGTTTCACAGTAGTGGCTACAATTAAGATGGACCTTTCTGTGCAAAATGTTACACCATTTCCATATGTGACATTGAAATCACCTTTCCCTTATATTCTTTATTTAAATGCCTGAACATTTTTTAATGCGAGAATTGGGGGGAAGCAAGTGTACGTTCTGGCCAAAGAAGGTTTTATATTTGCATAACAGCGCAAACCTAAATGCACTTACTAAGGAGTATGTCCTCTTGTTACTTCTGAGTAAACGTGCATGTACTGTACTGTAATTTGTTCTTAAAGGGTAAAGGTAAAGGGACCCTTGACTGTTAGGTCCAGTCACAGATGACTCTGGGGTTGGGGCGCTCATTTCACTTTACTGGCCGAGGGAGCCGGCGTTTGTCCACAGACAGCTTCTGGGTCATTTGGCTAGCATGACAAAGCCGCTTCTGGCAAACCAGAGCAGCGCACGGAAACACCGTTTACTTTCCCGTCGGAGCGGTACCTATTTATCTACTTGCACTTTGACGTGCTTTCAAACTGCTAGGTTGGCAGGAGCAGGGACTGAGCAACGGGAGCTCACCCCATCACGAGGATTTGAACCGCCGACCTTCTGATCGGCAAGCCCTAGGCTCTGTGGTTTAGACCGCAGCACCACCCACATCCCAATTTGTTCTTAAATAACTACATAGGGATCTCAGTTCCTAGCATTCCAGCCTGGCTCGCTGACAAAAGTTAATGTGCGTGCTTTCCCTCTGAATTCCCAATCTTTCTCACTTGGAAATGGGATGCAGAATTATATTCCTACACCCCGCATGATCTACAGGTCCTTGTTAAGAAGTGATTCATGTTGGGAATTAGAAGCTTAGGACCCAGTTCTGATCTTGCACATTGGTTTTTAAAGGTCATCTGAAAGATCACCTATAGCAGGCATGGGGAACTGGATCTTGCCAGTGGGGCAAATCTTATCTCCCTCACTTTCTGGGGTTCAACATCGATTAGTTGGATCTATCAATCACACAAGTAACAAGTCTCTAACTCACCAGGGGTTTTAGACCCACCCATTGGCTACCCTCACCTGGTTCAGAACCTACCCCCCCTAGCTTTCTGGTAGTTCTTCACGCTTGGTAACATTGGCAGGCTTCCTAGATTTCTTTGCCAGCTTACAGACTAAACCTAGATGTCAACTTGTATATCCATTTAAAAATCATGAAAAGCACCTTAGAGCATAGAACAAGAGTACCACGAAAATAAAAGATTCTCTTTACCACTTTAAGTTTGAAAATGGCTATGCACATTAGCTAGGTCAAAGTCTTAGCATGCCACACCTGAGACTGTTCTATTGAGATAGATGTATATGTATATGTATATGTATATGTATATGTATATGTATATGTATATGTATATGTATATGTAATGGCTGTAGTAAAAGACAGAACTAAATGGCCTTAACATTTTGTACTTTGGCATGCAGGGGTGATGGGGCTGCTGAGCACCATAGTAAGCCCAGACTAGATGGAAAATAATTTGTTTTCCATGACTTTACTGTATTTGCTAAAGATAGACCATGGAGAAACAGGCAGAAATCACTGTTACCATTGACCAGTACTGCAATATTAAGCAAAAGCCATTCAGCTGATGGTACTCTATTCCATGTACAGTGGTACCTCTGGTTAAGTACTTAATTCGTTCCGGAGGTCCATTCTTAACCTGAAACTGTTCTTAACCTGGAGCACCACTTTAGCTAATGGGGCCTCCTGCTGCCGCTGCGCCATCGGAGCATGATTTCTGTTCTCATCCTGAAGCAAAGTTCTTAACCTGAAGCACTATTTCTGGGTTAGCAGAGTCTGTAACCTGAAGTGTATGTAACCTGAAGCGTATGTAATCCGAGGTACCACTGTACATACTTACTATGGGTAGCTGCTTATAATAGAAAATAGTAAAATAAGTGATTATGGAAGTAATCTGTATATAGATGGCTACTGCTTGTAGTCAGTTTCTTAAGCTGGAAAAAGTGACAGTATGCTAAGTCTGCTTAATACATGTCCCAAATTAAAATGGGGAATCAAGTGGTTGTTGCCTTACATGGAAACCAAATACACAATAATAAGAACAAAGTAAGGACACTGGAGAAGAAAAGGTAGCAAAGAGACTGGGAAGAAAAAGATATATAAGGATAGAACACTGAGCTTTTTTAAAGCTGATTTATATGTATAGTTGCAAATTTAGATCTAAATTTAAAACTTAAAAATAGCCATTGTTTGGAAGCACCCTTAGAAGTTGTAACTATGTATGCTCTGTCAACCTTAAACTGGGCCATAGCATTGTTCTTCAGCTATTAGAAATGCAGAAGTTGGAAGCCTTTCCTGTCAAAACTGCAAAAAAAGCAAAAAAATCACATATCTATTTCTTTGATGCAGAGAGAGATGATGAGATAAAGGAGGACACTTTCTTAGAATTATCCCCAATGCAGGCACAATTAGATTGAAGCAAATTACTGTTCTGTTACCTAATATATGTTTTATGTTATTAGAGGATGATGATTGAACAGCACAGAAACAGCCAAAGATGGATTAAGATAATAGCATGGAAACTAGCCCTGAAGAAAAGACAGCATTATGCCATCCCTGAAATGGATAGCAAGTCCTATATGCCAGGGGACTGCTAAGGATCATACCAGAGCATTTAGGGGTCATGTTTTGAAATTTCCTAGATTAAAGGAAACTGAAGTATATCATTACGAGATGCAGTTATATACCTATTTACCAGTCCTGACAGTTTCCATCTGGGCTAAATGAAGTTAGACATAGGGATGGGTGAATCTGTCAATTTCAGTTTCTTATTTTTCCAGTCTTAATTTCTCCAAATTTCCACATCAGTTTATGATTTTTAAAAATATATCCTTTTGAAAATTCATCAGGTTCTTTGTGTAAATTTCTCCCAATGTACACATTGTTACAATGTAGTTTTCCCTAATATAATTCATTTTTTATATTATATTCAGTAATATGTGTACATTTTGGTACACATTACTTGGCTGAAGAACTGAATTGCAACATTCAGAGAATTACTAAAGGATGGTTCTGTTTTGGTTCACATGGTGTTTTTGAAAGTATGAATTAGATCCCTTTAAGTGGGAACTGAATCAAATTTCTCTTCCATCTCTAGTTACACATTAATTCAACCTGCTCCATTAGTTCAAAGACTTTCAGAGGAGCTCAGAATTTTAAAATGACTCTAAGAACAAAACATAAAGCGCAATAAATAGGTAAAAGAAGTTGCAGTGGTACAATCAATAGAAATACATACACCTCTATGGATAAAAATACTGAAATATGACGTGTATTTGGCTCCTTCTGCAAGGTTTAAGGTATTACATGACAGAGATATGTTGTGTGTGTGGCAGGGGGAGGTTCTCTTAACCCAAATTTTAAGCATCCCACATTAAGATTGCAATCCGATCCATGCATACATTTGTGCTGTAAGATGGCAATCCTGAATCGCTAGGATTCATTTTTACCTCTGAGTAAAAATATAGCTTTGATTCCTGGATCAAAATTTTGTAATGAAAATTGAGAGTTGTGAAATTAAATTATTTTTTCTTTTTAAATGGTCAAAATTTAACTCCTTAAGGTTCCAAAAAAAAAGCTTATGGCATCAAGACATTGCAGGGTGGGATGAAAAACGGCAGTTGGTTTTTTTAAGTGGCAAAAACATTGGTGGGCAGATATGCTCTATAAGCCGTGGTTAGCCACCCCTAATACCCATAATTTAAGGGAAAATGTCATTTTATAGCCATGATGGGTAGCATAGAATGTGATTATGTAGTATGGAAAGAGAACTGAACCCCATAGTCAAAGGCGACTATGGGGTTGGGGTCTCATCTTGCTTTCAGGCCGAGGGAGCTGACGTTTGTCCACAGACAGCTTTCCTGGTCATATGGCCAGCATCACTAAACCGCTTCTAGTGCAGCAGAACACCGTGATAGAAACCAGAGCAAACGGAAACGCTGTTTACCTTCCCACCGCATTGGTACCTATTTATCTACTTGCACTGGTGTGCTTTCAAACTGCTAACCCCAAAACCCCAAACCACATAAATCACTGGCCCCCTCTCCTGAATCAGCCTCCAGTTCCCCTGCCTTCGTCACACCCTCGTCAGAGCCCTGCCAGTCCCTGACAGCAATAGTTTGGTTGATCATGGGCTTGTCCACATGGTTACATGTGTATTTGAAACTGCTTGTGTCTCCATCTAACTAGCAGCATTCATATCAGGCTGGTGGGTGGGCAGGTGGGTATCCAAGGCTTGCGAAGGAACAGCAGCCCAGGCCAGGCAGTTGGGTAGCCCAGGCTACCAAGTGGAGGTTTTACCATATCTAAGGGGAGGGGAGAGGTGGTAGTTTTGGCAAGGTTTAAAGGAAGGAAGGTAGCTTTGAAGAAGGAGTACAGGGATGGGGATGTCTTTGTCAAGGAGTAAGGAGATTGGGGATGCCCGTGGCAAGGTATGAAGGAAGGCGTGGGTGGCTTTGGTGAGAAGGTTAAGTGGAGTTGACAAATAAAGCAAGCAGGGATGCAGCCCCTAGTTCTTGATAAAGTTTTACAAATATTAATATATTAATGGAAGTTTATTTTACTAAATTTGTTTGAAATCATTAGGGTTGCAATCGTGTACACAAAAGCTTGGGATTAAGCCCCACTGAAGTCAGAAGGACTTACTTCCATGTAGACCAGGCTTCCTCAACCTCAGCCCTCCAGATGTTTTGAGACTACAGTTCCCATCATCCCTGACCACTGGTTCTGCTAGCTAGGGATCATGAGAGTTGTAGGCCAAAAACATCTGGAGGGCCGAGGTTGAGGAAGCCTGATGCAGATATACATATACTAATTGCACTGTAGGCCAATTTGGTTTGTGATTTTTGTCCTTTTTTTTAAAAAAAATGCTTTTTATTAATTTTTCCACACAAAAAAAAGAGAGAGAAAAAGATAAATATAAAAAGATAGATATAACATTCTTTTACAATCATCATTTTGAACCCACTTATTTGCATTGCGCATATTCACGCCCCGACCTTCCTTTCCTGCTTCGGTTTTCTTAATACATATCTTCTCTTGCAAGTTCTTATTCCCCTTCTATACACATCACAGGATTCATGTTAACCCTGTTACAGTTTTTAATCTTCTACAGTTAACTTTTATGTACGCAACAAATTTACCCCATTCTTCTTCAAACTTTGTCCCTTTTTGATCTTGGATTTTATAGGTCATTTTAGCCAATTCTATATATAATTTGTGATCATTGTCCTGATGGCGTGCTTTAGAAGATTTGGCAGAGAGAAATCATTTTTCTTTGTACATTTTCCTTTTGGTGTATTTCCAATTGTTGAAGATAAAACTATGTTCTAGTTCATCATCAACAATCCATTTAATACATGGGGCAGGTTTTATCTCTTGCTCCTCCTTGCCTCTAAGGAATATACTTGCATTGTTACATTGCAGAATTCTTGGAGGCACTCGCTAATTACAGGAAATGTTTTAATGTCAACATATTCTGATTCTATATTTAAAAAATTAAGGGCAAAGTTTAAAAATAACTTAAGGGAATTGCAATCCTTAAACATCCTGGATGAGTTAGGTAATAAATGTTAAGTATGGGTTGTAGTGACTGATGTACCTACACTTTGTCTTAACTTGTGGTGATGTTACCAGCAATACATAGAGATAGAATTGCTATTTCAAATGCTTAATGACAAGTAATACTCTTATAATCCAGAGAACCAGGAATGAATTTGTATCAGTGTGGTTCAATGAACTCTTGTTGAACTGGTAGTGGAAGATGTGTCCTACAATGCAGCAGCAGAAAGGCTTTCCACCCATGCTGATTTATGTGGAGAGTTCCTCCACATGGGGAGGGACTCTGGCTCAATTAATGGTGGAGTTAGGACTATTCCACATTTCTGTATAGTTCTTTTCACATCCATTTATTTCATATATTTGTATACTGCTTAATACTTAAAATCATCTCTAAATAGTTTAGAAAACAAAAAATACAACATAACAATGAAACTGAGAAATAAAAATACAATATTAAACAAAAGTGTGATACAATGTAATAAAGCAATAACATCCCAAAACCAAAAACCTACCAGCATATTTTGAAACATCTTTAAAGTCAGGGGCCCCCTCTCTCTTGAGTCTCCCTCTTACCAGACTTACAAAGTACTCAAATTCTGCCTTGCATCTAGACAAGTCATAAAATACTGAAGTTTAGTGCATGTGTAGAATGTTTTTATTTGGGGAAGGAATCAGCAGTTTTAATGCGCAAGAACTGAAACTTAAGGAAATACAAATATTACCTGTGGAATAAGATGTAGTAGGACATCTCCAGAAAGAATTCCTACAGCTAACCCCACAAATAGCTGTAAAATGAGGGTGTAACATTCTTGACAGGAATTAAATAGAATGAGAGTTGTGCCAAACATAGATCCAATTGTCATAAGTAAAATTGCAAGAGTGCTATAGCCATATTCTATAGAAGAAAAGATGAAAGCAATGCTAAAAATAATTCTTGCATTTTCTGTTGTTAAATTAACTTGAAAGCTCAGATTTTGAAATCCAATTGTCAAATAAAAAGGGGCAAAGAAGCACTTTATAAAGTGAAAGCAAGTTCCATGAATTTCAACAGCATTTCCATTAAATAGGATTTTTGCCTGACCCAGGGTACAAACCATAGGTCAGAGCTCATATATGCTGGAAGGATTAGGCAAAACTGTGATGTAAGGCAGATGAAACAAAGCACAGCACAGCACAGCACAGCAAAGCAAAGCAAAGCAAAGCAAAGCAAAGCAAAGCAAAGCACAGCACAGCACAGCAAAGCAAAGCAAAGCAAAGCAAAGCAGAGAGGCTGAACAAATGAGCAGGTCATCTTGTAGTAGGCAAAGTAAAATTGGGAAAACAGGATCAAGTGAATCTGAAGGTTATATGTTAGCTATGCCTAATGTAAGATAATACACTAAACCATTGGAGGCAAATGTAATGCTTGAATATATGTGCGTCTTACAAGTAGAGAAAAGGTGATAGAACCAGTACTTTTGTTATCTTGATGCTCATTCAAAACATTAAAAAATAGTATATGCAATCATTGTTCTGTTAAATAGTGAGAAATGAGACAAGGTGGAGAATGGATTAAAAGTCATATCACTTTTTTATTCCTGAAAAATAACGTATTGCATCAAAATAAATAAATAAAAATTTAAAAATTGTCCAGTAGCACCTTAGAGACCAACTAAGTTTGTTCTGGGTATAAGTTTTCATGTGCATGCACACTTCTTCAGATACCTGACTTTTCATGCAAACTTAGTTGGTCTCTAATGGCTTTTATTTTATCAACTATTTTCTTGAAAATTGATGGTCTAACTGTATGGCATTTTATCTGAAGGAAGAAAATTTTGTTTCTTAAATTAATTAGCAGTAGCAAAAACTGCTACCATCTGTTACTAGTGACAAATAATGTTTTTTATGTAAGTGTGAAAAACAGAAGATAAAATTTAGTAACAGCATGAAATATATCACTCTTAGCAATTACTTTCTCAAAGGAAGATGCTCATGTCATTAATGAGGCAATTAAGAGAAACAAGAATAAAGTGTGTTTAGAAAAAATGGCTCTCTCTAAAGATGCTTTCAGAATTACTAGTCAAGCTAGAAACCATGTAAATCTTGTTTTTTGTCTTGTTCCTGGCAATTTAATCCTATAGATAAGCCAGTTTGATTTCACCCTGACTACAGTTTACCTGATTTGAGGGTATGATTCTATGAGGGTTAAACTATAGTACAGAGAGGAGGCTCTCCAGATAATACGCTCCAATTCTCATCAGCCCCAGCCAAAGATATCAAAGCAAAGATATATTTGGAAATCTACTTGTTATATGGAGTTCATTAATACTGTTTGAAGAATGGAAAATACATTGCATAAAGAATTATGGTGAAGGTAAACGTGTTTTAGTCAGGCAGATTCCATGCAGGGCCAACCTGAGAATGGCAGCACCCTGCTGGGGAATGGTACTTTCATCAGCACCACTAATGTTCAGAAAAGCAGCTTTCCTTTCCAGAACACTTATGTGTACACACTGAAAACAGAAGAAAATTGGATGAATATTTTTAATGTATTATTTATCAAGAGATTCCTTTACCACCATTCACCAAAATGGTCATAGGATGTTAAAAAGAAGAAGTAAATATACAAACATACGGTAACATTTAATTAACTTAATCACACTGTAGTACAAATAATGATATTCAAAAGACACATGAGAGCATTTTCATAGATGGGGCTTAAAGTTGTCTCCTGACTGAGAGTATTTTGCAAGAAGCATTCAAGTTGAACAATTAAAATGGATTAAAGTGCTGTGCTGCCCTAGCACAACAAATCCAGTTGTGTTTTTTTTTAAAAAAAAAACAAAAAACAGACTTATTGCTGTTAGCAAAATGACAAGGAAATGCACTTAGAAGTGTGGGGTGAATGAATGATTAGTGGAAAGGTATATAAACACCATTCAAGGAAATCAGGATGAATGCTTAATAAAGACCAGATAGTCTAATTTCTACGTAAGCTTTGTGCAAGAAAACCAAAATGAATGCGCAATAAATGGGTCATCTGTAGGAGTATCAGTCTACAATGCAAAAGTACAAACTATGTGTGTTAGAAGTAGTGATGAACACAGAGTTTAGAATTCAGAAGTACAGGAGTACAAATTCTTGCAGGTACAAATGAGTGTGGCCTCTCTACTGTTGCAACTACGGTATCTGTTACCCTTTCAGGATGGTTACAATGAGAAAGCTTGCTAGCTACTGCAACATCTATTAAATAGTATCATTGTGGGCACCCAGACATTGGGGAAACTACATTTTTCTGGTGTTGGGGGGAGAATGAGGCTTGTGGCTGTTGTTCAACAGCAACATATATTAATTCTAACAGCCAGTTTAATAATCCTGCTTCTTGTTTTGTGATGATCACATGCAGTCTAAAGGAACCTGCAAATTGGCCTTTAAATTGAATGTTTAATCAAGGAGAATGGGATGTTCTCCATTATATAAAAGAAAGCTATTTTACTCACTTTAGATACTGAGCAATTCACAAACCTTTTAGCAGTCAGATATAAAACAGATTAACTAGCAGAGAGTTGATCCATAGAACTCCAGCCTCAGGAAAAGATATTTTGAATACATTTCCAACTACAGTATTGCTGTGGCGATTTTGCCCCATCCTGACAGACATAAAATGGATGAGGTTCTTCTGGAAAATAATGCAAGGTTTGGCCAGCATTCTAAATTTCCAGTTCATGCCCACTTTTGCCACTGCTTTTCATCTACAGTACATACAGTTGAAAGGCTCATTGATAAAGCTGATAAGCAAATTTCATTTTCTATGAAGTTCATTGCTTTGTGTTGATTTCATGTTTCACCATATCCTTGAAGTTTGGGCAGCACTGCCCATCAAATGTGTTTAGTGATTTTAATTAATAAAAAGTGATGGTGTAAAAAAAAAAAAAGGTAATACCCTTTGTAGCTGCCATTGTACTTTAGGCATGAGTGCGTACCAGCTAGCTACAGTACAAGAATCTGCTCATCATTTTACTTGTGCATTCCTTCAATTTACTTTTACCTGGTATTCAGATATTTTTAAATGTTTCCTTATTGATTCCACTACATCTTCAGTTTCATTCCAAGAGAAAAGTCTCTATTGCTTCTTCAATTAACCATACTAGTTAGGTAAAATTTATAATCCTGGTTCCTCTGACTAAACATTGATGGACAGATATCTCTTTGATGAGTAATGTAATAAAGAAGAAATTTTCTGGAAGACTTCTTCACTAAAATAGACTTCTAAATCTCCTCCTGCAACTAATATCAAAGTGTCTGGTTCAAGGCACTATGAATAAGAAAAAAAAACCCACATAAAATTTAAAACACGGCTCAGCAGCAAATCTCAATTAATATTAGAAAGGGTACACATTACTGCCTCAGGTCTTGAATGTTACCCGCAAGTTTGGCTGCAAAACAAGCAGGCGAGTCTGGATGAGCCAACAGAGGTATACTCCAAAAGAAAGACTCCAAGTTTTCTAATTTGTTAGCACACTCTTCATCAGTGGTTGGTGTCCATTGGGACTTATAAGAGCTGAGGGCAAGGAGACCAACAGTAGGTGGAGCCAAAGTCAATGACTACCGGTAATTCTAGTTTTGTCACCATCATGCTCCCTGCTGAGTTCTACAGGGGCAAAGCTGAGGAAGATGGCAGCAGCTAATCATAAATAAGAAGGCAGGTTGGCTGAGAGCAGAACTACGTTGCTGGAGCAGGTTGTAGGGCTGCCATATGTCCAGATTTTTCCAGACATTATGGGGATTTCAAAGGTGAAATTAATTTCTGGGGAGGAATTTCTTAGACATGTCAACATCTTTTTAGGTGTCCTGAGTTTTACTTTTTGAAATATGGCAATCCTATCCATTTGCCCTTATGGATCAGCCTCCATTGCTCTTCATCAGAACCCTTTGCTGTGCCTAAAAAGAAAAACTCTTTAAAAGAAGTTGCCTTTTATCAAGTCCTTCTAACTCAGTATTGCCCACTCTGGCTGAAAGTAGCTCTTCACAGACTCAGGTACCATTTTCTCACACCGCCTTCTCCTTGATCTTTAAATGAAAAACAAACACATAAAATTGGAACCAGGGACTTACCACATGCAAAGTATGTGCAAATGCAATTATGATTATCGCTTCTTCATTTTCTCCCTTCTCAGAAGGGAACAATTGGTTATTACCTCTGATGAAGAATATACCATACTCAAAATGCATTTAGCAGTTTGGAGAGGTTCTGTAAACAGAAGCAATTTGTTCAAGCACCTCTTAAAGTTTATCTCTGTTTGTTGGGCTGAAAACTGGTGCTGACCTCCTTCCTTTCCTCTCCGTAGACTTCACCCCAGTTACTCTTGTACCTGCTTTTTTCACCGCAGCTACCACTTCCTGGCTACTACCATTTTAGGAGCCATGGTGTTAGGTTATGATGCAGGGTTCTGGAATCAGTAGTGAGGTAGAAAAACTGTGTGATGAGTTCTTTCTTTATTGTTGCATTTTGGGAGTTAATATCTAATGCTTAAGCAGCAGAAGAATAATTTGCTGAAAACTATCTGGTAAACTTCATAGCTGTGTTGGAATTTGAACCTGTGTTTCCCACCTGCTCCTGAGCCACATCCAGTGGTGCCAACTTGAATAAAATAGGGGGGTAAGCCCCACCCTACATAATCAATCACATGATGCGGTGCATGCACACTATTTGAATGGCAATACCCATCAACTTTGGGGGCCCCCAGGCCCCTCAAATACTTTATTGGGAGATCAAAGACCCCTTGGCCCCTAGGAGTTGGCTTTTATGGCCACACCCATTACCATGTCTAAATGCTCTAGACCAGCAGTGGGGAACCTTAGTTCTGGGGACCAAATGCAGCCCTTCAGAACTCTGTATCTGGCCCTTGGGACTCTCCTTAGATCACATATTTAATACCCCCTTGCTCTAAACACTGTCCTACATTGGTTTTTAAAAAGTCTAAGAACAGGTGTTATACCCTCCAAAATCTGACAGACAAATAGGACATGCTTGTAATAGACAGTATACTCTAAGGGCCCAACTAGATGAGATCCTATTCATCCAATTACCATTTATGTGAATGACATTCTAAAAGACTGTTAATCTGAATCACTGGCACATTACCAACATTTTGAACTTAAGGCTTGCAGGAAATGGCAAATGGATCTAAGATCATTTTGGTTATATATTTAGCTCTGCAAAATAAAATAGCTTAGGAAGTTCCAGAGAACCATTTTAGTGTTTGTGAATCCCTTTCTAGTGTCTATGTTACAGTTGAAGCAGAAACAACTAAATGGTAAGAAATAAATGTACACATGTACCTGAAGAATATAGTACATCTGTTGAAAACAACATATAAAATGAATAAATATATAAATAGCAACACAATCCTTCTTTGCTGAGATGAGAAGTGAATTACACGAAAATGCTGTGCTTACTAAGTACTCCATACAATTTTCCATTCACCACTTGACTCACTGACCAGATTACAGGCCTCTTGCATCCCCCCAATCCTTTGTGGACATAAAGTTCTCTCCAGTATTAACTTGATAATTTCTCCTCTTTGGTTCTGGTGGTGTTCACTATAGTTGTTAACTGACATGATACCTAAATCAACTTTCAGATACCTGTGGTGAGAGGCAATGCTGCCATCTTCCTTCACTTCTTTATCAGACTGCATTCCTGCAGTATTTGGTCCAAATATAAAAGTCAAAGATGCTATCCAAAGAATGAGACAGGTAGTCAGGAAACACATTTCCTCCCCGTAGTCTGTGTTTGCATTGGTGGTGTTGAATTCTAGTTTGCAGTTCGCAGCTCTAAACTTGAAACCTGCAGAATTTATACAATAAAGGGGGGAACCCTCAATTAGAGTGGCTGCAATATGTTTGGAAGGATTTATATGCTTGGCTAAGCTGATTTGCAGCGACAAGCTGTTTCTGAACAATGTGGGGGTCTGCAGGGAAGCAGCAGGAAGCTAAGTCGACTGTGGGTAGAATGGTTCAGTAGCATTACACAGTAAAAGGGTGACTCAAATGGATCATTCCTCTCCCCCATCCCCAACAACAACAATAATAAAATCCTTGTAGTAAATTGCTCCATTCTTCATTAACCAATTTGATAATGGTAGGCTTCTGTGATAAGTTTATGAAAAGGTTTTATGTTTCCCTTTCATTGCATAATGCCAGGAGGACTAGGAAAATTCAATGAAGGTTGCATATTAGTATAAGAGCTCTGCAAGTGTACATACATACCAGTTTCCAGTCACTTCCAGTCACAACAAAGAGCTTGAACCTATGAGCCTCTGAACTAATAGAAAACAGCAGGTTCTATTTTACCTGTGTTGAAGCATCTCTGCTTTGGTCTACATTTATGGGAGAATGAGGTGGCATTCTGCACTACACAGCTTCAAATTGTAGGTGTGCATTCTGGATTTGAATGTTTCTAAATGAGAGAAGGTGAAGAACACAATTCCAGAACTTTGTTGTGCTGGTTTTCTATTCACAAAGGCATAGGGCTGTATTAAAAATGTGATCACCCACCCACAGACTGAGTGGTACAGTCCAGAACACCACCTCATCATAACTTCTCAGTCACTGCAGTTCTAGTGCTCTGCCCTTCCCACAAACACGCATAATACTGCAACATCCAGTTTCTTTATGTATTACATTTATGTCTCACCTTTCCTTCAAGGAGCTCAAGGCAGCATACATGAAATTGCATCCCAGTTTATCTTCACAACTATCCTTAGCTTAGGCTGTGAGAAAGTTATATGCCCTAGATCATCCAATGAGCTTCATGACTGAGTGGGGATTTGAATTTGATTCTCCTTGTCATACACACTGTCAGGGGATGGACTGAAGTGGAATGGTGGGAACCGTGCCCCCCAGTCCAGCACCTTCCCGAGAAGAGGAGGATAGTATCGATTTAGAACAGTGGTTTGCAGAAGGTTCAGAGGCTACAAAGGGGAGAAGCTGGGAAATATTGGGGAGTAGCAGGAAGAAGAAGCACCAGGGGAGAGACAACTAACAGACTCAGTGTCTCTTGAAAGCATTCCTGAACCCCACTCTCCCGGAACAAGGTGTGCCTTGAGGGTGGTAGAACAGAAAACACAAAGGCAGAAAGCACAGGTCAGTCAGCGCAGGGGTGACGTAGAATAGGGGAAACTGATGTGGTGGAACTTTACTTGGAGCAATGCCATTTACTAAGAGAGACCGCATTCCTTAGTCTCTCTCTTTGAATATTGAATAAACTACCTGGTAAGAACTCTTTTTGTTTTTCCACTTCTTGGCATCCCACTGTAAAAGGGATAGGATTCCCTGAAGCCTTGACACTAACCACTACAGCACACACTGGATTCACATTGGACTTAAGATTATCTTTATTGGCCTCAGAACCAAAGACAAAGTGAAGACAGTTGTCATGTTGTTTTCATCAAAATAGAACCTGTACAAACAGTTGTACAACACTTATTTAAGATAGTATGTCATTGCACATTTGTAGAATGTCATTGCCTCCTCATTTTTTAAAAAAATCAGTTAGTCTCTACACATCTATAGACAGAAAACAAGTTTCCATGTAAGAGGACCAACAAGTATGATTTTTCAGACAAGGTTGACTCCACACTTCTTATTTAGCAGTTAAGCCATAGAGCATGACATCATTTTTAAAATTCATTTATTGTTTGTACCTACATACCCACTGCCAAAACCAGACACAAATACTTTTAAAATGTGAGGAAACACCTGCTTCTAGTTGCATGCAGTTTTCCTCCCTGCAGAAAAAAAACCACACCAGTGAACTTTTCATTATCTAAAACCATTCTTTCTCTAAATTTAAAGAACAAAGAATTCTGTGGCACCTAACAGACTAAGAAATTTATTAAGACGTAAGCTTTTAAGGGCCACAATCCATTTCATCAGATGCCTGAAATGTAATCCTGAATTAGCAAGCTTGCATACACATGGTGGTGGTAGTGAAGAATGTAAAACAGTGAGATTAGAGGGAAATGAAATGTAAAGAGAGAGAAAAAAGCAAACTAACATCACATTTTGCTTAAAGTTATTAATGTTCTCATCATGAACCTGAAAAGAACCTTGCAAATATGTAATTTTATCAAAACATGCTTAGAAATGTATGAAGATTCGTTTGTGCCCATGCCAGGAAACTCCTATAGACATACAATTTATTCTATATCTAATTCCAGATACTGCAAAGGACATCGCTTTTTTCTGGGAGGACGTAGGGGGAAGTATACCCCTAAACATTTTGTGAATCTAAGTTTGGCCTCATTGAGGGGCAGTATTTAAGTATGAGTAGGAAAATGACAGTACCCCTAAACATTTTTTTTAGGGGGAAAAAGCACTGGCAAAGGACATCGCTCATAAAATGTATTTCATCCCAATACAATATACCTTCTGTATCAAAAGACAAACTTTTGCTTTGAAATAGGAAGTTTGACCTACTGTAGCCAATAATAATAATAATAACAACAATTTATTATTTATACCCTGCCCATGTGGCTGGGTTTCCCCAGCCACTCTAGGTGGCTTCCAACAAAAAATTAAAATACAGTGGTCTGTTAAACATTAAAAGCGCCCCTAAACAAACACAGCAATGTATGCATGCATCCCTTTACTGGAAGCATCCTCCATACAGCATTCATGCCTGTTATACACAACATCAGACCTGATTTACTGTAAAAGAATGTAGGTTTCATTGCGAAATAAAGCAGTGCTAAGAAGCTATAAAAGTAGAAGCAGCTAATAATGCCTGCCAAAACAGTGCCTGGCATACAGTCAGATGGGAAATTAACAACTGTGTGGATGTTGAAGAAGGGCTTTTGATGATTAAAAATAGTTTTAGTTTTAGGGTGGCACCGGGAAAGGATTTAAAACTGAAAAAATGTTAGAAGGAAACCCCCATCTTGAATTTTCTCCTCTTACCTTTGCTCTGGGGGATAAAAGGGAGGACTGTGTATCTTTAGCTTTGTGGCCTTTTGAATCCCTCAAAGTATTAAGCTGCTGGGAAGCCCAGTGTTTTTTAAATTCCTTGGCTCTGCTCTGCAAGCCAGAGAGGATTAGTTTATTCCTGCTTTGAAAAGTTTTTGGTTGCTATGGAGAGAGTTGTACTTAAGGTAACAAGGGAGGTGGATAGACATTTTGTACAAGTTCTTCCTGGCAGGTTTCAGAAAGTACATTGTAAAATATAGCTAACTATTTTAAGTGTATATCTTATGCAACTATATCCTAGTTAGATACATATCTGAAGAACAATTTATCCATTAAAAATTATAAAGTAATCAAGAAGCACTTCTATCTTTTAAATGATATTTTCCTGCAAAAGAAAAAAAAAGTATTGAAAATGTAAATGCTTTCTATTTCATTCACAGAATATCTAGATTCCAGGCCCTCCTCCACTCCTTAAAGTAAGAATAACTTAAGAAAGAAACCTCTATATCCATTTTTATTATTTCGGCTCCTTCCAGGCAACCCATTTACTGGTAGCAAACATTCATCCTGATTTGTTTGCAGGGAGAGTAGATGACATTGGCTATTTATCAAACATTCGTTCTGATTTGCTTGCAGGGAGGTTAGATGATGTTGGGTCAATGCCAATGTTATCCCACTCTTCCCAGTACATTCCCCCCCAAAAAATTCCTTCTTGCAAAAAGTCTCCCATCTTTTTGGGGAAGTGGGTTGTTCTGTAATACATTCAAATCAATATCTCCTGCCTGAGTGGTTCTGTGTTCTCTTTCTACTTTCTGTTATCCTGACTGTGTGTTTTGCTTTTGTAACTGGATGCAGTCTTAAGAGCTGAAGTTTTTGAATCTTACTGGGGATCCAGAAAGATCCTGTACGCTTTTGAACCTCAGTAAACTATTACTGAAGAATTCTACTGCCTGAGTGTATATATTTTATTTTGAACTTTGCACGGGAGTTGAACCCCACACATCTGCTACTCTGCTACCTTCTGCCCATGTTCTGGAGTTGCTGTATTTAGGCATGGAGACAGGGGGTGCTGGATTCTAAATGGAAGCATTGCAGACAAGGGCATGCTCTGTGGCTCACTTGGATTCTTATTCTCTGCTCACTGCTGGAGATAGAGCCAAGTAATGGCTAACTTGTATATTTTTTAAAAAAAGGGGGGGTAACAACCATTCGTGTTTCTATGTCCCAGCAGCCCTTGATACAGTCTGAAATCTATTTTGCACCCTAGCACAATATACTGTAATTTAATTCAGTCTACATAAAACTTCCCATGTTCCACCTCAAGATAGTTAGATTATGTAGAATTCCAGGCATTTCCATAATCTTCCTTCTCCCCTCCATTAATGTTATGGTTTTGCTTTACATGTAACATGACTTTGTGATATATTAGTCAGCCCTAATAAAGGCTGCTGGATTCCCCCCCCCGCCCCCGTTGGACCAATCACATGGTTGCCTGAAATTTTTCTAAGCATGACTGCATAGTTTAGGCAAGTTACAGATAGGTAGCCGTGTTGGTCTGCCATAGTCAAAACAAAACAAAACAAAAAAATTCCTTCCAGTAGCACCTTAAAGACCAACTAAGTTAGTTCTTGGTATGAGCTTTCGTGTGCATGCACACTTCTTCAGATGCACACTTCTTCAGATACACTGTGTATCTGAAGAAGTGTGCATGCACACGAAAGCTCATACCAAGAACTAACTTAGTTGGTCTTTAAGGTGCTACTGGAAGGAATTTTTTTGTTTGTTTTGTTTTAGTTTAGTCAAGACAGCCAGTGCTATGTAATGCATAAGAATTCCCTAAATGCAAATATAATCAGAGGGATGCACTCCATTAAAGTCATGCACACGACTGTTAGCCAGCATTTGGATCGCTGAATCCACAGGTAAGGGCATCTATCTCTCATTAGCTCACGACAAGGATTACTTTTGCCAGGGAATGGATGGTGGGAGTGCAACCCTATTGATTTTCCTGGACATTTCAGCAGCTTTTAATACCAACTGTCAAGTTCTTCTGGATCAGCTGTCTGAATTGGGACCGAGGCGGGGGAGCACAGTGTTATGGTGGCTCTAGTCCTTCCTGGAGAATCATTTTCAGAAGGTGCCGTTGGCGGATTTCTGTTCCATGTCTATGGACTGCCTCAGGGTTCTATTCTGCCTCCTATTCTTCTGGAGATCTGAAGTATCAGCAGTGTGAAGATGACACATATCTCTACCTCTGTCTATGTCTGCTGGTCCCAGAGGCTGCTGGACTTCTGAATTGATGTCTGGAGGTTGTACTGGGTAAACAACCTGAAACGTAATTCCACACATCATATTTTGACTCCCTTCCCCCCTTGAATTTTAAAGGTGTGGCTTATTTGCAGGTGCGGCTTATAGTCGGGCTAATACAGTAAACACCATGAGTTAGATTTAGATTTGCTGTGATTCAGTTGATGCTCTCACTGGAGCAAGAGTGAAGGTGATCTTCACAAATACTTCCTCAGCTCTACATGGGAAAACAGGAATTGGAGGAACTCAGGTGAAGTCTGAAGTCTAAGTGGAAGCATAAACAATGTTGCTTCTTCCACCATTCCACACACTGTTGGCAGAACATCGCTATGAACAAGGGCCCCAGATTTCTGTATTGCACAGTTATTTCCATCACTGTCAGCAGCTGAACAACATGGGGATGTTAATAAGCTTTATCATACTCACTTCTTGGCTAATAGCAGAAACAACTCTATATGTGCCAGCAATTCAGCATAAGAGTTTAGTTTTATTTACACAGCAGTGTGGGATATTATATTTTAATGATGCCCTCTTGGTAATGTGCAGCTTTCTGATAGAGGACCACAATTTACTGAGCAACAGCCACTACTGAACCGGTGAACTACTTATCTTGACGAACTTAGTAAATGAGCTTTGAGCTACCTTAATAAGCACAGCAATTGTGAGGAATAAAGGATGAAACCTGCACACTTCAGATTTCCCCTATGCTATCAGTGTGCCGTGTGCATATATTCTGTAATTAGATCCATGGGGTGCATTTTTTATGAAAGAATCTTACTCTCTGCACAAAATGAAGTGGTGGAGGAGTACACGTGGCAAGTCTGCCAATGCAGAAATGATGACATAAATAATAACCACATTTCAGAGTAATACATGCGCCAGTGTAAATGTGTAGAACTAGATCAGACAATACTTCTCCCCTAACCTAAGCCATCAGGTGGTCTTCCCATGGAGACATATTGAATTTGGTGGATTCCTGAATGTTCTGGGGAATTTTGCAGGATATAGTCAGATTTTTTAAAAAAATAAAAACAAATATTTCCACTGTTGTGCTGTAGAGATCCTGGCAGCTAACAGCATCCATATCAAAAGTTCCTTTTGGTGAAATGTCGTCATAGAATCTGTCCACATATTTAGTAGGATAACTGAGGAGAAATGTGAATGTGTGTTTTAATAATTTCCAATATCTCTTGATGAATTTGATTCCAGAATAAACCATTTTCACCTGAGAGAGGGGAAAAGTCCCATCACCTTTCCCAGCAGTTTGTTGCTGTGTTGTAATAATATTTGAATGGGTGTGTGATGCTACCAGTGTAGAATTTTTAAGGAACACGTTGCAGATACTGATTTGTATGGTTTAATTTTTATTTAGTTAGTTAGTTAGATTTGTATATCACCTTTCATCCAAAGATCACAGAGGGGTTCACAACTTAAAAATACAAAATGAGAGCACAAAATAGTTAATATAACAAAAACAAACAAACCCCCACAACACATTTAAAAGGCCCTAGAATGTTAATCAGTCAAAGTCCGGGTTGAAGCAAAATGTTTTTGCCCAATGCCTAAAGATATGTAATGAAGTGTAGTTGGGCCAGGATTGGTGTAATATGCTCAAACCATCTTGCCTTGGTGAACAGCCTGGCTGCCGAATTCTGTACCAGCTGAAGTTTCCAAACTGTCTTCAGAAGCAACCCCACATATAACATGTGGCAATAATCTAACATAGAGGTTACTAGAGCATAGCCAACAGAATTTAGGCTAACCTGTCAAGATAGGAGAATAGCTGGGCCACTGAGGTTGCCACTGCAATTTTCAATGGAAACAAC